CATTTGGTTTTGGGGGATTGGCTAACTTCACTTAGCATTATCTTCTCCAACGCCATCTAGTTACCTACAAATACCATGATTTTATTCTCTTTTATTGCTGAGTAAAATTCCATTGTGTATATATGCCACATTTTTTATCCATTCATCTACTGGAGGACATCTATGTTGGCTCCACAGTTTAGCTATTGTGAATTGTGCTGCTATAAACATTGATGTGGCTGCAGACATGTTATTTCAAAGAAAACAGCATTTTCCAGATTTTTTTTATCTGCTTGTGGACTGGTCTGAGATGGAGGTTTCTCAGCTATACATACAGACTATATTTTTCCAGAAAGGATTCACAAATGGGTGAGAAACTGAAGCAGATAACCTATAAAATTCCTCTTACTCTGAGGTTCTACAGAGCATGCTCTGGAGGCAGCCTTCTCTCAGCTGCTCAGGGAATGGTGAAGCTGTAATTAGATGTTGGTCTCTGTTCCTGTCCTCACACAGGCCAGAGTGATGACTTTTTCCCCTACTTCTCTTGCATTTATTGACTGTAACATCATGACAACTAGCAAAGTCTGCCTGGTTGTGCTATTTACCTTTTTGCATGATGTCTATTCAAAATCTACATTTGAATAACTATTAAAGAGCCCAAACTTATTCAAAAATCAAAACCCTGGTTTTTATTCATTATCTCACACCTGCTCCCGCTGTTTTCATACCCGTTTCAGTAAATGATAACTCTGTTATTCCAAATGTTAAGTCAAAAACTTTGAGTTCATCCTTGACTACTCTTTCTTTCAGACTTTTCATTCAATCCATTAATCTGCCTTCAAAATATATTCAGAATATGACTTTGTCCCCTTCACAGCTACCACATGCTCTGAGGCACCACCATCTCTCACCTGAATTACTATATAATAGCCTCCTGATCATTCACCCTGCTTCTATACCTTCTGTAGTCTAATCCACATATAGCTTTAGTAATCTTTTTATAAAATAAATCATGTCATGTCAGCCCTCTGCTCAAAATCTTCCACTGGTCTCCCATCTCAGATAAAAGCCCCCAAAGCCTCCATACTAGCTGACAAGGTCATTGGTAATCTCGCCTCCTACTGCATGTCTGATTTTATCTCCTATAGCCCTCCCCTTTGCTCATTTTGTTCTAGCCATACTGGCCATCTTACAATTCTTCAATCATATCAAGTACCCTGGTGCCCAGGCCTTTGCACTTGCTATTCCTTCTCCCTATATCACTCTTTCCAAAGATACTTTGATCTTTCATTTCCTTCTGCATATCTTCAAATGTAATCTTATCAGAGAGGCCTTTCCAGACTGTCCTGTAAGAAATAGCAAGGTTTTAAATCCACGCTGGCCATTACCTTCTCTATTCCCCTAATCTAGGTTTATTTTCTCCACAATACAGATTATTACCTGATATGTTAAATATTTACTTGGTTTTATTTTCCATCTCCTCTCCCCAGAAGAATACAAGTTCCATAATGTCAGGAACTCTGTTTTGGTTTACCATCATATCTCCAATGCCTAGATTACCACCTAACATGCAGTAGGTACTCAATAAATATCTTTGTGATAAATGAACCATGTGTCGTATCCTAACTTACAAACTTCTTATAGATAGAAACCTTTCTATTTTCATCTTTGTGGTCCTATCACCTAGACTATGCTGAACACAGTCCAAATTTTTGTTATGACCAGGATTTGATGACAGTTCTGGAAATCATCAGTTTGAAACATCCTGGTATTATACTGGTATTTCATGCTTCTCTCCTAAGGTTCCAAAGTTCTCTAGCTCTAGACTTATGGCATTATGGATGGCTAAACTATAGGGCATTACCCTAGTCTACTCTGATTGAGAGATTCTAATCAGGTATTTCATGGTCAGTTTGTCTCAATGTTTGCCCTGGCCTTCATTCATCTTTGCCCTGGCCTTCATTCCTAACTGTAATGAATATAACTATAACATTTGGTTATTTTCAGAATAGGTAGGAAATAATAGGTAGGAAAGAAAAACTCTCTACTACCAGACAAGGATATGGCTTAAAGCATATAGATCAATAATAATATATTGGAAAAGGAGCATATTATCCATGACATGACTTTTTAAAAATATATTTTTTAGCTGTAGATGAACACAATATCTTTATTTATTTATTTTTATGTGGTGCTGAGGATCGAACCCAGTACCTCACATGTGCAAGGCAAGCACTCTACCACTGGGTTACAGCCCCAGCCCCCATTAAGTGACATTTTTAAAAACTAAAAAGCCTTTGGCACAATGAGAAGAACTTTTATAAACCTGGTACCTAAAACAAGAGAAATTAAAATAGGCAAGACTGCAAGAATGGAAACATTCTTTTTTCCAGCTTCATCAAGGTTAAAAAAATCAAATATAATATTACTTATATCTCTGGTTTTAGTTCTTAATCTAATACAAAATACACAACAGAATGAAAGGATAAACAAAACAAGAGAGCCAGACATATGAAATAAAATTAATTTCCATAGCAGAATTTGTAGCAGCCATTTCCAAACACAAAATAATAAGACAAAGGCACTTTCCTGGGCCTTAAAGAACATGACCACTTTGTTTGCCTATAGGTCATTTCTGCCAAAGAGGGCTGACATATCACTGAATATTGTAGAAATTACATGGTATGAGGTAGATAATTCAAAAAAGTCAATAGCATAATTCAAAGACAGGTTACTAATATGGGGAAAAACAAAAACCACAATCTTCACATTGCATAAACCCCAAGTTGGTGAAAGCTAATTTTTCTTCTTCCTCTTCACCCTCCCTTTTTATCCCCTTTTTATTGAGATTTTTTTTAAGAATTATCAACTAATTTTAACACTTTCCAAATTTTACTTCTACTAAGAGAATATAGAGTCTGCACTGGTCTATCCTGCCAGATTTATTTATAAAGTAAAATGATAAGACATGTTTCTAAGATTGTACCGAGACTGCAACATCAGTCCCAAAAGAGCTTAAAACATGCTGTCTCACCCTAGTCTTACAGCTGTCTAAATCTTAACTCAGTTTGCTTTGGTTTCTGTGACCTGTTCTCACTCTTCTGTGCAATAACTTGCACATTAAAGGTGAGAGAACAGTGAGAGAAGGAAAATAACTCCATGATAATGGGTACATAAAGTGTGAACCATGGCTCAGAGCTTCACAGGCAACTGCTGTGTGTCACACCTATGGCAATATCCTGCTTCTTGAGGATGCTTCCTCTTGCATCTACTGCAATGTTCTATGCCATCAGCTCCTGGTGGCTCGATGTGACAGATTGGAGTCAGAAAAGCAGATGGAATTCTTCTAACATAGCATGAAGTAGTATAACAAATCTTAGGAAGAAGGAGACTGTGGTAGTTCTTGGGGAGGGGGGAGTCCTTGACAATCCAAGACAATCAAATGTTAAAATCTAAAATCCAATATGAAAAAGTCCACATTTTAATTCCCCTCCTAATATTTCCCTCTTTACTGATTTCTGAAGCTTCCAGGACCTAGGACTGTTTTGGTCTGAAGAAGTGAAGACATGAGTATGGGCTGCTAAATGAATCTAGACTGCTTTAAAGAGAGAGAAGGGAAAAGGGAGTCATGTCTTTTGCAGGAATACATGTCACTCTTCACTCTGCATTAGCATGATCAGATCAACTATTTTGTGGCTTAGGCAGAAAAAAAATGTTTTAAAAAAGGATGACTGGAGTAGGTATCCTTAGCACATAAGTCACTAATGGCAGGGAGGGAAAATTGGTTGGCATGGGTGTGTCATTGGAACTGTTTAAAAAGAAAATGTAGATGCAGAATCTCTGCCTTCTGTTACCATCCTGGAGCCAGAAATGGCAATTTCAGTGAACCATGTAGCCAACAACCACATCAAAATTAAATAGTTCAAAAATTCAAAATATAAAAATACTAGAAAGATTATGTAGAACACTTATTTCAGTTATAAAAGTGACATAATTAATGTTTCATAAATTACTCCCAGATTAATAAAGTTATTGTGAATTTAGTACAAGTCCAGATAAAACTACAAAGTTAAACATAAATTTGGCCCCTCATTACTACAGTGACTGAGGGAGGAGAATCAGAATCAGATACAGTCCTTTTTTTTGGTAACCTTTAGTCGTCCATCCCCATTCTATAGATAAAGGACAGCATGGTTTTTAACCCAGGTTCCAGGCCTGCACTCACTTTTACTTAATGTCAAGTCTTCCAGAAACGAACGACTGCACCAGCCCCAGCTCCAGCTATTACACACAATAGCTGGACAGTGAGTTGGAGCAACCTGGCTTCCTCCTTCCACCTACACCTTGAGGGGGTGGGGTGGAGGAGAGGTGCGAATGGTCAAGAGATGTCTGGGGTTCAGGGAACCTTCCCCTTTTCTTTCTCCCCAGTCAGGATGGAAAGTCAGAGGTAGATAAGACCAAAACCAAACGAAGAAGTAGATTCTGCATAGGGAGGCATGGAGTGAACCAAAAGTCATCTGGATATGGTGACTGTCAAGAAACCTCTCTTTCCACTCTTCCTTCACTCATCCATTAGGAGTCACCTCTGTCTGGGTCATAGGACCTGACACACAGCCTCTGAGGTAGCGGAAGCCCACGCTTCGAGAGGCTGGAATCCTAAGAACCAAATTCAGTATTAAATATGCGAGAGGAAAGGAGACCTGAAGGCAAAAGTGTAGGTCGGCAGGGTCTCTTCCTTCTAACCGAAAGGAGAGCGCCGAGAGAGAGAGGAGGCAACCCCAGAGCGAGCGCAGGTTAGGAAAGGAACTACGGAATCCCGAGAGAAACCCAAGTCTCAAGGGAATGCTGGAATCCCCCTCACGAGCATCGGCCTAGCACCTAACAGCTGCGGGGGCCCTGCGGGTGACTCAGTGAAAGCAGCAGCGGTCATGCCCCCAGCCGCGCGGAGGTGACCTGGCTGCAAGGGCCGGGACGTGAGCGGCGGCGGGGATCCCAAGGCGGGCGCGGCAGTAGGGACTCACCGTGTCCTTGGACGAGCCCAGCTTCTTGAGGCCATCCAGGGGCAGTAGGTCAGCGGAGTCCTTGTGGATGAACTGCACGGCCTGTTTCATCCGGCGCTGCTGCCGAAGCGACGCCGCCTCCCGCATTTCGGTTTCCTTGCGGCCGCCCTCCGTGAGGAGCCCTGAGTAAAACATTGCTGAGGCGCCCGCGGCCGTGGGGCCCCGCGGCTCGCGGCTCCCGGAACCCAGCGCCCTCAGCCTCGAGCTGCTCCAGCACTGCAAGTACAGCGCGCCGCCTTTTATAGCCGAGCATGACGTCATGGGAAGCAGCCAATGCGCGGGGGGCGGGCGGGGCTGGCACATCACCCCGCCCGGAGCTCGGCTCCTTGAGGTCCTGGGTTCTCCGCCCACCTCGGTTCTACCAGTCACCCGGAATACTAAGCAAGGAGCGAACGGGCCGGCTGGCCAAGGTTCCACTGCAGCCGCTAACCCCGAGCGCCCCCCTTCCCATGTGGGTGCCTTGCATCCCCTGGAGTGTAATGGGCTGTGGGGCCCAATGCTCCAGCAGCCCCTTTCACCCAGCCGCCGCCCTGGTGCTAGCTTACCTGTCCACGCTGTGGCCGTCCCGGGGATCACCGACAGTTGGGCCATGTCCCAGGTCCTGGCGCCCGCGCCGCAGCTCGGCTTTTCAGATTCGCACCTCTGTGCCTTGCCCTGAGCCCGCACCCACTGCAAGGAAGAGGGGTGGCTCACTCTGAAGTTGAGAGAGCTCAGAATTTCTCCAACTACTAGTCGATCTCCACCTCCGGGGACACGTGACCAGAGAAGGGGCAGCCTGTGCGGGAGGGCTGGAGTCGGCCTTTCCAGGACCCTCCTCCTCCTGGCACCTTCTACCTGGATCCAGGCATCCACGGGCGCGAGTCAGGGAAGCTGGTCCTGTTGCAAGCCTTAAGATTTGCTGAGGTTTTGGGAGTGGACAAGGTCCCGCCTCCGGGCATAACGTATTGGAACGCCACACCTGCTCTTGACACCGACAGAAAGCACCTGTTTTTCTCAGCAAACTCTAGGGCTTACAGTCGAAGCGGGGATGTCTTCCACCCATCTCTCCTGCATGGTTGTGGAAATGGGTTGTACAAACCCCTCTTTCTTCTGAATCATTCATACTTTCAAGGTATTCTGTGGGGACCTTCAGGCATTCAGGGTTCTGGACTTGATGTTGTAACTTGGTACAAACCATGTTTCCATCCTGCACGACACAACTACTCTCTCCACCCCATCTCACAAGAGCAGGCTGAATCAGAAAGATCTGCACTTTAAAGAGAAACAACAATTCAAGTAACAATAACGACACTTATTGAGCCAGGTACACAAATAAGCAAAATGCAGCATTTCATTGAGTCCTGGTAACATCTTATAAAATAGTATAGTATTTCCCTTTATGGAGAAACATCTGAGAGCTCCTATCTGGCCTGTGAATATTTCCTAGTTCCTTTCTTAAAAATTGTTCACTATGCTCCCAGAGTGATGTCTCAAATTTTAGGTGCCATCATTTCACCTCCCTGCGAAAAGCACCTCAAAATACATTCTACTGCTCAGGAGATAAAGACCCATATTCTTGTGTGGTCTGCCCACTTGTCCTTGGACTTTTCACTTCTACTTGATGAATTTATTCCAATTTTTAGAGGAGTCATTTCCTCTCTTGCCAAACTGCCTGCCTTTGAATTTCCCTCTGCTTGGAATACCTCTTCCTACCTCCTTTAGTAAATAAATGCCTGTACTTCCAGACTTCAGCTTTTTTATCATTTCTTTAAGAGAGCTGACTCTGACCTTCAAGAGGGTAAATTCTCCTTATTATGAGGTATGTATTTCTACTGGATATTTCATTCTGTGTGATTAGGAGAACTCATTTTAATTAATATTTGTCTCCTCCATTGATTAGAAACCCCATGAAGGTGGCTGAGTCTGTATTTTGCTTAACATTGAATCCCTAATTCATAAAAGCCTCTCAATAAATATGAGAATAAGTATGGCAAAAAGTTAAGGTTGTGCCCAAGGAAAGCAAGTGTCAGAGCTGCCCTTAGAACTGCCCTTAGAACCCGTGCCAGGCTTCCCAGACCTGGAAGGACTGGGTTTGACATAATGAACTTCTTCTTTCCTTCTGATCTACCTTCAACACTTGCCTTAGTTTCTGAAAACACAAATTGCTTGTGGGGAAACAAATCCAGAAGGCCACTCACCTGCCTTCAGAGAAGTCCCAGAGGTAGATTCCTCCTCTATTCTTCCCCACAAGCAAAGGGCAGGATCTTGAGAAGCTGGGTGGGATTCCTGCTCACCTTCCAGTCCCCTGGTACATATCCAATGATGAACAGTGGCTGCCCTGGCTTCTTCTGTCCCATTGCCTGATCCCTACCTGGTCGTTTCTCTAGGCATAGGATGCCCAGGGAATGGCGAGACAGCTTTGCCTTGTTTATTTAGAACAGGTGCCTCTGGGCTTGGCAAAGCTTCAGGACAGGACCAATAGTAAGGTTTGGGCCCAGACAACTACCTGGTAGAAGCTCTGGGGGAGGAGTTGAAATCCCTGAGGCAGCTCAGCTCAGTCCTGCAATCTATTTTTTTTTCCTGAGGATGTCCCTGCAGAAGAAAGGGGCTCCTTTCATAGCTGGATCCCCCTGGGAATACCAGGAAGCTGAATCTTTCTTGTTGAACTGGAATTTGGCCATATCAAGTGTTGCTGAAAAATAAATGGGGACTTGCTGGGACTGGGAATCTTTTTGTGAATTCAGAGCTCTTTGCTGTAGTGGGATTTGTGTTCTGCAATTGGATCTGTGGCCACAATAAGAGTTGGTCTCCCACCTCCCTGTCAGAGACTTCATTGGCCAGATTGATACCATCACTGCCTTTAAGCCTGGGTAGATGTGGTGAGGCCAGCACCCCATTGCACTCACATTGTGAGTTTCTGCAAAATACAAACTGGCTGCTCAGTTTGAGGAGGATTGCCTCTGAATGGTTTCTCCAAATGACTGAGCAAGTCATTCCCTACTCTTGGGCCTCAGTTTCCATATCTGGAAAAAAGATGCAGTGAGATTGCTTATACAGTTGTGCTTTGTAAACTCTCCAAAGATGCACCAACAGAAAAGATTATTATTAATTTTCCATATAGCCAAATTCCCCTGCAGCATTGACCCATCTTGGGAGACTTTAATATACTTGTTAAAAGCACAGGTTTGGGAGTCAGTATGTTAGATATTAATTCCTGCTCTGCCACTTATTAGCTATGTGACTTCACCACTGTGAGCATTTACTTCCTCATCTATAAAATGATGCCAATAACATCTCTACCTCTCAAGATTGCTGTGAGGATTAAATAAATAAATATATATATATATATATATATATATATATATATATATATATATATATCACCATCAGGCACATAGCACAGGCTTGGCAGGAGGTAGCTACCATCATTGCTTGGGACAACCTCAGGAGAATTTGTGGGCTGCTGTGCTCTCAGAGGTGGGTCTGGCCTATGCTCCCCCGGAGGCTCCCTGTAGAGCTCTAGGCACACAAGTCAAACCTGAATGTCTTTCCCCTCCCTGGGGCTGAGGTCTCCTAAGAGACGGGGGCTGGCTAGCTCTTTCTTTCCCTAGTGTTTCTAGGTTCTGGACTTATCATGTCAGGTAGCTCCATTCTAAAGTTCTCTGCATCTTACTTTGGCTCTTGTAGAGAATCTGTACTTGAAAATCATACTGGAAAAGCCAATGCTATTTCAGTTAGGACTTTTTCGTGTTATTCTTATAAGTGATAGTAATCCAATTGGAAATTTAAGCAAAAATACAAAATTTCTGGTTCCCTTCATTAAAAAATGCAGGGGCTTCAGGCATGACTGGATCTAAGGAAATGACATTTTTTACTGCGTTTCAGCTCTATGTTCTTCTGAATTGATGTCCCAGTAGGCAGGCTCTTCTTGTCTAATAGCTGTCAACAGCTTCAGGTTTCCAACCTCTTCCCCTAGCACCCTTCTTTTGGATCAGGTCTTCAACTAACAGGGTGGCAGGCCTTTGAGAATGGGACACAGAATGAGTTCTGAGGCTGAGAGGCTAGAAACATAGAGGAGAAGAGCAAAGGATAAAAGGGAGGCTGTCCTCCCCTTACCATCCTCTTTGTCTGCCCACCCATGCATGTTACCCCCTGTCATACCTTCAAAGTTAGAATGTCTGCTCCCCAGAGCCATATTCTCTCACCACCCCCATCCTTCTTGCTAGGAACAGAGCTCTAATCCCACTCTGGTGTCCTCACCACCCTCATAATTTCCTTTGGAAGGAAGATTCTTCAAACAGTTGTCTGCTGCAGGTACCAGATGTGTGCCAGGATCTCTGACTGCATGGTGCCCACGACTTGGCACCTAGCCCTGAAGACTGTGTCTACTTTGGCAGGTTAAAGCAAAGATAAGAGATTTTTTTGTCTTCTTTCTTCAGAGGAGTTCCAAGCAACACTGTGGCCTCAAAAAATAGGGCTGATGGCAGCCCTGCTGGTGTTTTCCAAAGTTAGCGGACTCTTTTGGATCCATTCCTGTCAGCATTGATTTGGTTTCATTTCCTGGGATGAGGACGGATTTTGACCTCAAATTGGATAGCCAAAGAGGAGAGAAAGTTGGGGAAAAGCTCAGTATCTGGAGCAGGAGTGTCTGGTAGAAGTCTGGAAGGGAACTCTAGGCTTGACTTTGAGTCTGGCTGTGCCCCTTGCTTGCTGTGGGACCTTGGCTAAGTAACTAAAGCTCTCAGCCTCAGTTCTTGAAGGCTCTGTGTGTTTAAAAAGATATTATGTAAAACATAAAGGGCCTAGAATAAAGTGAGTCCTCATTAAACCCGAGTCCTGTTCCTATTTTCTTCCCCTCCCCAACACAAATAGGGAACCTGGAAACAAATGGGGCCCTCCTGAGGTGGTAGAGAAAAGAGATCTGTGAGGACAGCAATCCTGTGAGAATCCAACAAAACCTAGGCCTGACCTTCCATTCCACATCTCTAATCAGCCCCAACCAGAGTGGGATAGCCAGCCGGACAGCTTGCACTACAACTACTGTTTACCTTGGGAGCACCGAGGACTCCACCTTCTTCTCCTGATTAAGTATGCTGCTTGGGTATGACAGTGATAGGTCAGTGGCCCTTGCAGGGCAGGCCACAGGGCCTGGGCAAATGCAGTAGAGAGGTGACACACTCTGTGGAACATACGTGGACTCCCAGGCATGCAGACACATTCACT